ACCCCCATCATCTTGAATGCTTTTAGTATTTATGTATAGGGTTTGTTTTATAGTGGATTTTTATGGATTGAGTAATTTAATTATTTATGGGGTATTTTATTGTTTACAGGCTTTTGATTTTTAATTGTGAGCTGCCCAGAGTCACCCATTGGGGGAGATAGGTGGCATACAAATTTAATAATAAAATAAACAAATAAATAAATAAAGACGGCTCGGGTAACTCCAACATTTTACAATGGATCCAATCCATAGGAATTTCCCCACTGCCCTCCATCTATGTCACTTGAAATGAATGAAAAATATAATATAGTGGATCAGCTCTAGTAATTGCTGCCTGTGCTACATGGAAAAAATGGAGAAATTTAGTTGATGGTGGTGGTGATGATGATGATTTTCAGAGTGGAAAGTAGCCTTGCTTGATATGGCCAAACATCAGTATACTTGGGAACTGGATGTAGTTGGGAGGAAGAAGAAGGAAGGAAGTAGAATAGTTTCAAAACAGGAAGGGAAAAAAAAGAGATGGTTAGGCCAGAATCAACTATGTCTGCTTGCAAAGAATGAGGATGGTGTCCTTCCCACATGAATATTGTGGTAGTCTACTATTGTCTTTCTAACAGCAGCCAGCACGATGTTTATAGGTTTCCAAAGACAGGCAAGGAAGATGCAGGCTGGATTCTTACATTACGCTAAGCTATCATGTGGTTTGTTTAGTTTTAGCTTGACATAAGTATTGTGTGAAGCCAGCTATTCGACTTTGTAAAGCATGGTTTCTGTTTTGTGAACCCAGCCAACTGTGGTTTATTTATTGGCTGGGTTATGCAAACTGGCAGCTCTTAAACTGTGATGTCATTATGCACTAATCTTCTTAAGCCATCACTGGGATTACATTTCCATTATCTGAAATGGCTCTCTGAATGGTTTCATGATCAATAACTAGAGATGGGAAAGTATGCTACACATGCTGCACAGAGGCTTTTATCCATCTAGACTTTGGTAAAGCCAAGAAG